AGATGCAACTCCGAATTCGTACCCCACCCCACCCCTCCCGCCCCTTTCAATGCACCCCTCTTTTAAAACAATTTAGCCGGGACTGAAGGTGGACATACCCCTCAATTTAGTAAACAAATATATTACTAAACTAATATTTGTATACAAAAATTAACTTTATTATTCGCAACCAACAAAACTTCTAGTAAATTCTCCGTCTCCGGGGAGTCCGTCTACTTCTTGACCACCCCACTGATGTCCTTGAAGGACCCACCCTTTAATAATTACCCCACCCTCAACAGCTCCATTGCATCAAAGAGTGATACCCCCCACCCCTTCTTCTTTCATGACCACCCCTATTACCTACCAGTTTGACACCCGGTGATAGAGCCGTTACAAAATTCCCCGGGTATGACCCTAGCTAACTTGGAAGGTCAGGTGCTTGCAATCACCCGGTTCTCATACTACCCCACCTACCCTCTGACCTTGTTAGAATGTTCATCTCAAAAGTGCACACATACCCCTCCTTCTGACTTGTTTGAAGGGGGTACTTACTACCCTCTGCATCTACCATCTGCTCCCTACCCCTGTTACTGGGATGCGACGAGGATTCCATAGAAGACCACCCACCCCTCTGACAACTCGTCTCGACAGCACCCTCCTAGGGTGGGGATACCACCTACCCCCGTCCAAGTTTGTTTCATGAAAACCTTCACTTTCGGACGCTCCTCACTACTCCCCAAGTTTTCACTACCCACCCCTCAATACACCACTACCCCACCTACGACACATCCCCACCCCACCCCTATCAGCCTATCCAAATCTGTACCCCTACCCTGGATGACCCACTTATTAGTGCCGAGGGGTAACCTTGGTTACTCTGCAAAACTTGTACCCCCACCCCCTCGAAATTCAATTCAATAGATGACCCACCCAGAAATACGGAATGGATTTTATACTACTACCCCAAACTTACCATCATGATACCCACCACTTTGCCACGAATGAAAGTATCTGTTGGACCCCTACCCCTCTAAATTCCATGAACCCCCAGAATACCCCACCTCTATTGCTCCTTAGTTCCTGCCAGGAGCGAAGGAGACAGCCACCCGACGGCATGCGAGGTAAGGAGGGAAAGGAGGGAGAGGAGGGAGAGGAGACAGAGGAGACAGAGGACAGCAAAATGAAAGTGGGATGCATGTTCATTAACTTGATATGAATGGCTGTCCCGTGCGCTTACTTCATTCGTGCAGACTTGTCCACTCTTTGACAGCCTCACTGAGAAAGACCCGAGATCAGTTTGTAAGATCGCATCCATAGTCCCAGAACCTCTCTGTTCGTCTGCTTCTAAGCATCATTGCCATGGTCTCTTCATATGAATTGGCATCGAACTACTCTTACTCTCCCAAAAACATGGTCGATCAAGCTCCAAATCCCATGGTCTACACGACCCTTTTGAACTCTTCGCTCTACAAGATGGAAAAACAGCCCAACACCGTGCAAGCTGTTCCAATGCAGTACCAGGGCCTCAGCTATCAAGGCCGCCACTCCTTTGCCCAAATTAGTCCCAAGAACAACTTCATGGAAAGGAGCAACCAGCTTTCAAGCTATGAAACTCAACAAGCTCGCCCGTACAACACTGAGCAATACCCTCACCTCGTAATGGGCTATCCCCAGGCTAGATACGTGCAGGAAAACTACAATTCAGCAGAGATTGCCAGGTCATACACGAATTCGAGTCCAGCGAACTCCTCGAACTTCTTCCCGGTCGATAGACGAAATGTGTTGCAGAACAGTGCACCTTCAGCGTATTACGCACAGTCTTATCCTAGAGCGGCTCAAAGCATGCCGAATCCAGTCCGAGTCGATGTATCAACTGTGACACCAAGCACTTCCCGCCCGATGGAATTCGGTGGACAGAATTACTCGAGCAGGAATGCGATGAGTTTCCCTACCCCCGTGCCGATGCAAACGCCAAATGTCATGCCGAATTCTCCACATGCTTCCGATTTTCAGGGACAGACATTCTCAAGGTCAGCAAATGTCCCGCACGCTATGAATATGCCTGCCAGTCTTCCTAGTACGATTTCAGACAGCACGAATTACTCCAAGAACTCACAACCAAACAGCTCAGGGGCTTGCATGGCACTCATTCTGCGCAAGCCTAAGGAATCCATCCATCGCTTCCAGTCCATTTGCTGGAACGATGAATTCTACGTCACCAATCCAACTGCAATTCAAAGGATAGCATTGAAGTTTGAACATGTTCTTGACCCTTCGTTGCTGCTTCAGAGTCTTGATGACGTCGTGAAAAAATTTCCGACGATCACGAGCAAGATTTGTCATTATCAAGGCAAACTCTGTTTTCATCTTGCCTCTGAACAAGTCACGCTTCGAGTAATCTTAGTGAAACCCCACATCCTATCGGACATGAATCAGTGGTACAACGCATGCAATGAATACAGGCCTGTCTCGAACGAATCCACAGAGCGGCCTCCTCTCTTCCAGGCTTTCATCCTACTCAGCAATGATCCCAGTCACGGATGCGTCTTTGTCGTTTGTTTCGATCATGTGCTGGGAGATGCCATCACCTATGGAATCTTCTTGAACCACTGGTCTCAGGAATACTCGTTGCTGAAAGAAAAGTTTGGAACAAATCTTGCCAGCTCGCTCAGCAACTTGCCACCATGTATGTATGAGAGACCCTCGATGCCTCCTCCGATCACACCGCCGCACCAGATCCGAATGCTAAGGTACGAGCTCAATACTCAGTTTCTGAGCACGGTCAAGGCCCAGTACTGCTCGCCAAGTGATCGACTGAGCACCAACGACATCTTGATGGCGCAATGCGCCTGTGCGTTAGCACCGCATCGCAAGGGCCCGCAGGCGATGCCATATGCTCACATCATCGTCTTGACTGACAGGCGCAAACGAGGACTGAGCGAGGACTTCTTCGGGAATGCCGTGGTGGACATCAACGTGTACATCTCTATGCAGCTGCTGCTTGAAGGCAACGTGTTGGCAGTCGCGCGGGATATCCGCAAGGCAGTAAACAACGGCCTGTACATTCTCGAGCACAATCTGCCCAAATTCAACGAGGAGAAGCTTGCAGCAGAGAAGTCACCTTACCCGAAGCTCTTCGTTTGGAACTCGTGGATGCGTGCCGGAAGGTCGATCCTCGACGCCAAGTTCGGGGAGGAGAAAGGCGTCCTCCGCTTCGAATGGCTCAATCTCCTTGCGAACGCAACTCCCAACTCTCCCGAGGTCATCCTCGCCTTTCCGGTAGCTCAACCATCGGGAACCATGGCCATCCAGATCTCGTCGGAGAACTGGGACGAGTTCAAGAGCATCGCCAAGTACTGGGGCGAAGGCAAGCAGGTCGGGCTGGACCATCTTCGCAGATAGCACATGGCCTTTCTCACCGAGCAATCACGATGTATGAAAGCGGATCTCAAGTTTTCTGTTATCTTTATGTCAAGGTAGGACAATTTATTGTCAGGTTTTTTCCTCAATCCCCGTAGAATTTTCGAAGGATTTTTTGAGCTTGTTCATCTTTCTAAAATTTCTTCATCAATGAAACATCAAGGATTGAAACATCCCCCGCTGCAATTCACCTCAACCCTCATTGCCGATATTTGCCGTCTTGCTCCTGCTCCCCTTCGAGACATTTTCCTTGGAAGGTGTAGACGGATGTTTTGACCCTCCAGCTGGACTAGAGCTCCTCTTCTCTTTGGCAGGACTTGCTCTTGGTGACGCACTGGACGTCTGCAGGTGATTCTCTACGAACTTCATCTGGTAACTTCGTCAGCTACCTCTCACACGCGCATCCAGACTGTACCGTCCTCTTGTGGGCTACCTCAAGGTCATGTTTCTCCTTCATTAGCCTTGCATTATCTTCTTCGAGTTGTTGTACCCTCCTGCTCAATTCCTCCATCTCTCTGTTTTTCTCACCATCCTCCTACAGTCCTGTCAGGCAACAGCCCTCCCACCTTGGCACGTTCCCTTACCTTCGTTGCCTCGCTACCCCCTGCTACCTGACTTGTACAGCTGCCTTCCGCACGCTGCTCCTGAATCTCCTCGCTATCTTGAAGATCTTAGAAAGTTTCCATCAGCAACGAATCTCATTCAGACATTGAGACAATCTCCATCAAGAAAGAAATTTTGGCTATCAGCACGAGACTACCAACGGCTCCATGTGAAATCAACAACAAGGTTGCTGGTCTCACTTGATCCTCGTTTGTCCTCCTCTTCGCTTCCAGTCTGCATCGTCTTCCGTTGGTCAGAACATCTTTGCAAGGCAGAGGAGAGCTGCAAGAGAAGATGAGGAGTGAAAGAGGCACAGATGAGATGTCAGTTGCCTTTGAATGTCGTTCTAGAAGCTGAAGTGCCTCCTCTAACTGCTTCATGAGGAAACCTTTCTTCTCTTCGCTCTGTACGAAGGCCTGTCTCTGCTTGTACAACTCTGCTCGAAGAGCTCGGTTCTGCGAGGAGAGAGTAAGGCATGTAATCATGAAGGAGACAGCAAGGTTGCCTGGATGCAACATTGGCAGGAGGGGCAGCGGGTAGGGGAGAGGATTGGAAGTTCATCGATTTCATGTGTCAAATCCCCTCCTTGCCGACCTTGATCGTAGCGAAGATCGACAAACTTCTGCATCTCGTTCGGATACAATGTTTCTGAACTCCTCAGATTCCTCTTGTTGTTGAGAAACATCTCTTGATCCGTCTTCCGCTATGAGCCGGGTTGCCTGACGCACTTATGAATGATCATAGCATTCCCTTCTCCTCACCTCACCTTCTTTTCTCGTTGTCCCTCTGTTTCCCCGTCATTGCTGCAATCCCAACCATCTCAAGCTATCCATGATGAACTCCAACTATGAAGGTAACGCTCGGCTGACAAGTACAGTTACACCACATCTGGGCGAATCAAAAGAGTTTCATCAACTTTGTCTTGATCTCAACTTCTTTCACTTCCCAGGCTCAAACCCTCCACACCTCACTGATCACAACAAGAGCCATTCACGTAAATCTATGGCACAAGGACGATTCTTTAAGCGCATACCTCCCTACTTTGCTATCACAGCCTGTCACTATCTTTGGTTCCTCTCCTCCTTTCCTCTGACAATCGCCGCTCCCCCGCCATGTCGGATCACGTTACAGGGCCGGGGCGCTACGCCTCCCCTGAAACCCAGGTTCCGACATCTGCGACGGTACACTGGCATGATGCTACGCCGCCGCTACGGGAGTTCGAGCCGCTCCTCTTAGTACCTCCTCCACTCACCGTGGCACGGCGATGACCTCCCGGACATGGTTTACCGCCTGCACCATCGGCTGCGCCGGGCCATGGTAAATGTTCTCCCTCAGGGCTCGGATCCTACAGGGTAGTACTACCGGGTAGCCTAACTTTGAGTACAGAAGTACCGGTAGTACCTCCGGGCTCATACAGCCACATCGGCTGAGTGGCGCCCGGGCCCGTGGGCCAGTGTCACCGGGGGCAAGTCGACTCTCCTGATTCAAGGTCCTCAGGCTCGTAAGTACGGAGTACTGATTTTCAGTAACTTAAAAGGCTCTGAGTTACTGGCAAGTGGCAGTGGGCCCCGCCCGGCCCGGAAACCCCGGGCCCGGCCCTGACTGAAGCAGCCCGGCACAGCCAGTACTGTTTCAGTGACTCTCAAAGTTAAGTTAAAAATCAGTACGGAGGACAGTACTACAAGTTAGTACAAAGTTTCAAAGTTCACACGGTTCAAATGTTGAAACGAAAGTTTGGATGGTCAAAGTTGATAAACGTTGAAAGTTGTAGTTGCAGCCAAAGTTGCAATGGCGATGGGGCGCATGGGGTGGCGGGAGGTCGGGCGAGGATGCCGGCGAGGGATGGCGACGATGAGAAGAGAAGACATGCCAGTGATCGTGAGTGCTGTGAGAACACCCATCGGAAGGTGAGACGATACCTCGTGCAAGAACAAACTTCACCCTGCATGCGCTATGTCTCAGTTGCACACTTCCTGTTTCAGTTGCACAGTTGTAGTGGTTTGGAAGGGAGGCATCGGCCTGTCGACAGATGAGCCAGACATTGATCATGCTCTCTGTGCAGTTTTGGCGGATCTCTCTCTCAAGTGAAGGCTCCGAAGCTGGGGTCTGAAGCCATCAAAGGAGCGCTGGGCAAGATAGACCTCCCTGCCAAGTATATCGAGGTAGACATGTTGAACAGCTCCTCAACTTGTCGTTGACGAGGAGCCGTCAGGAAGTCTATATGGGAAACGTCTGCCAGGCAGGAGTCGGTCAAGCGCCAGCCAGGCAGGCAGCCATGGGAGCTGGCCTACCGCAGGAGACGATCTGGTACGCGGGCAAGTGCACTGATCCGTGCTCTGCTTACCTTGGTGGCAGCACCACAGTCAACAAGGTCTGCGCGTCAGGGATGAAGTCCATCAGCCTGGCAAGCATGGGAATCATGCTCGGGCAATGCAGCGCTGCTGTCGTCGGTGGTTTCGAGTCCATGAGCAACGCGCCATACCTGATCGACAAAGCAAGATTCGGTTGGGTTTCGCCAACATGAAGCTCGTGGAAGTTATCTGATACGTGTACGCTAGGAGGTTATCGGTATGGTGATGGAAAGCTTGTCGACTCGCTCATCTTTGACGGTTCGCTCGCTCGCTCGCTCGCTCCCACCGAGTATGAGAGGTGTGCACAGGGCTATGGGACCCTTATGGGGACCATCACATGGGGATCTGTGCTGAGAAATGCGCCAAGGACTTTGCAATATCTCGTGAAGAGATGGTGTTTGTGATGTACGACATGGAAGTTTGTTTGATGCTTGTTTGCTGCTCTAGGACGATCATGTGGTCGAATCTTACAAGCGCGCAATCAATGCGATTGAGCATGGACATTTCGCAGAAGAGATTGTTCCGGTACAGGTGTCGTAGGTTCGAACAACCGTCGACATGATGCCGATGGCCAGGTCCGAGTTATCAGCCGTGCAGGAGAAGAAATCGTGATAGAAGACGAGGAACCGAAGAAGGTGAATCGATCGTCAGCAAAGGGTCGAACTGAGGAGGATTGTGCTCACTCTGTTCCCAGGTGAAGATAGAAAAGATCGCACAACTGAAGCCGGCTTTCAAGCCAGCTCCTGAGGTGAGAGGAAGAGACACGCTCCCCAGCTCAACAGATCACAGGGGAAGGTGACGGCAGCAAACTCGTCCTCGATCAACGACGGGGCTTCAGCCCTTGTGGTCATGTCGCAAGCAATGGCGAGAGTAAGTCCCGCCCGTCCTGCCCCTCTCATCCTCTTGCTGTTCCTTCATTGGCAAAGCGACAGGTTGTTGTAAGCGAGAATTTTTGTTGCAGGAGCTCAACCTCAAGCCTCTCGTTCGGATCGTCTCCTTTGCAGACGCGGAACAGGTTTGCATGCTCTCTTTCTTTTAAGTGCTGACAAGAAACAAGGCTCCTATCGACTTCACAACAACTCCTTCACTTGCCCTTGCCAAGGTCCACAACCCATCCTCCTCTTCTTCCTCTTCCTCCTCTTCCTCCTCTTCCTCCTCCTCCTCCGCATCATCATCATCATCATCATCATCATCATCATCATCGTCGTTGTCGTCGTCGTCGTCGTCGTCGTCGTCGTCGTCGTCGTCGTCGTCGTCGTCGTCGTCGTCGTCGTCGTCGTCGTCGTCATCGTCATCGTCATCGTCATTGTCATCATCATCGACAGCGCTGTTCTCTCTTCTCTGCTACCACTCCTTTCTTCAACATCACAACATAATCTCACTCACCCCGGAGTCGGCTCGTTCCCTGACTGTTCCACTGAGATCATTCTACAGGCCTTCAAGATCGCTGGTATGGACAAGCATGACGTTGACTTGTTCGAGATCAATCAGGCTTTCTCGGTCAGACGCTTCACGTTCTCGTCCCTACCTGCCCAACAATCCCTCCTCCTCTCTACTCCACCTTTCCTTCCCCATCCTCCTCTTCCCCTCCCCTCCTTCTGCTCTCATCCCCTCTGCTTCGCTGACTGCCACCGCATCCAGGTGGTCTCCATCGCCAACCAGAGGATCCTCAACATCGACCCCAGCAAGGTTGACATATCGGGAGGTGGAGTCGTGCTGGGCCATCCCATCGGGTGCTCTGGAGCTCGTATCGTCACCACCCTCATCCACAACCTCATCAGGACGGACAAGACGATCGGAGCAGCCAGTGAGCTCAGCGAGTTGGCGGTGGGTGGGGGTTGAAGTTCCGCAGGCATCTGCAACGGAGGAGGAGGAGCGTCCGCCATCGTCCTCGAGAGGGTTTGACCCTGCGACAAGGAAGCCGCTCTCGAGTTTTTCCCTGCATGTCTCCTTTGCAGCAGCTCGTACAAGGCGGGGGATGGAGAATTCTTTTCGTAATTTACAGAGGAGGCGTACAAGGACGAGCATCGGCTCTATCGACGATTGAGCGAGGAAAGTCAAAGAGCTATCGAGGTCACTGACACGCTATCAAGCCTTCGGCATCCCTTTCATGCACTGTCATAAAAGCTTCAGCCGCCAACCACCTCCTGTCCTCCTCTTCCTCCTCCTCCTCCTCCTCCTCTCTCACCTGCTCCAACCTGTGCCTTGCGAAGGTGAAGTAAGGGAAGGAGGCGCTACCCATCGACGTCCCCATATTGATCGCCCACAGCCCCCAGTACAGATGGTTAATCGACAGGAAAATCTTCACCTCCTGCAGCAGCCCTGCCACCTCGCTCTCCACCTTGTCGCTCCCGTGCAGCTCACGGAGGTAGTGCGAGCAGAATCTCGCCATCTGCTGCTCTGTCGGGAACTTGGAGTAGTCAGGCCGACCAGTGTCTGTACCTCCTGCCCACTCGTTGAAGTGGTTGGCAATGTCGAAGGCGCTGTAGTTGGCCCCGCCGTACTCGAAGTCGATGAAGTGAAGCTTCCCGTCCGCCAGCTCTTGCAGGATGTTAGCAGCGAGAAGATCATTGTGGCAGAACACGACGGCGAAGCTGTCCTGTATGGAGCTTTCAAACTCCGCGATCCTTTCCTCGAGCCACTTCAACGAAATGTCAAAGTCTGGCTCCAGAGACACCATGTCGTCGTGACTGCCCCTTGCCTGCACCAGCCACTGGCGCATCTGCGTGAAGAGAGTCGGTCTGCTGCTGTCTTGAGGGAGCTTCATGGTCTTGTGAGTCTTGGCCAACTGCTCTGCAATCGCGCGCGATATCGTTTCTTCGCTCAGGTCGTCACATGTCAACGTCTTGACGTCCTCGTAGTACTCCTCGATCCTGCCGTTCTTGAACCTTCCATAGCACTTGGGCCCCAACCCAGCCTCCCAGAGCTCGACGAAGCATTTGGTTTCTGCCACTCTATCTATCATCCCGCCATCTCCGAAAACCCTCAACAAAACTGATCTGGGTACGTTGCCACCTGCTGTCTTTGCCATACAAACTCTGAATAACTTGTTGGTGATGCCTCCCTCGACAACATGAACATCGTCATGGTGTAGAGCTTGAAAACATCTCACATCTTCGCCAAGGAAAGGCCACAATCTCTGCACGACCTCCTGAGCAGATTGAAACGGGTGCAATAGGTCGAATTCTACATCCAGGATAGGAAGTTCGTCGTAGGAGCAAACCATGATCCTCTCCTTTTATCTCTCTTCCTCTATAGAATATCCTGCTCCTCCTGCTCCTGCTTCTCCTCTTCCTCCTCCTCCTCCTCCTCCTTGGTGCTAACCTATCCTGAACTTTCGTGCCGTCAGCAACGAGGGCGTGAATATCTGCCTCTGGGCTCCCTTCCTGCTACAGTCTTCTCCTCCTCCTCTCCTGAACCTACTCTCCTCGTGCTTGTTCTGTGATGTGTCCTCGTTCGCGTCCTCTTTCCCTTTTGTCTTATCCTCCTCCTCCTCCTCCTCCTACGCTTGACTGAGCATGCACGCGTCCCGACATTCCCCCTTCCGGTCTGCCGGCTTCTGGGTACTCGCTTGCTAGGCACTGTGACTCCACTCAGAGTGACGTTCACCCGGACGGTGACCAGGCTTGACGGTGGCTGACCGCACGTGACAGCCGCCGGCCCGGCCCGACCGTAACCGTGACTCGTACAGTCGCCGAACCGACCCCGGGCCCGCCGGACTCCGGGCTCTACCGTACTAAGTGGCCACCTAGCCAAGTTCAGGAATCGGAACTGACTCGAGTCCCGGTGCCACCGTCAGTCGAGAACTGAGCACTAAAGGCAAAATGATGCAGCGGCACTGTTTCAGAAGCCAGAGACCGGCGGATCCCGGCTAGAGATTCATTGATAGGATTACATAGCTTAGTTGTCCTTGACTCCCCACCGATTGACCGACCGCGCCATGTGCTCTGGTGGAGGCGCCTGGCATCGCCCGAGTCATCGGATGGCTGCAAGAGGGAGAAAAGAAGGGAGCAGGGAGCAGGGAGCAGAGAGACAGGGAAGGAGGAAAAGGGGTGCAGTGGAGCCCAACGAGTCACCTTGAAGTCATAATCGTTGAACATGGTGGAGGCAATCAGGGCATGAACCCAAGGAGTGACAGGCTCTGAATAATCATACCCAAGATAGATGATCCTTCCCTGCTCTCAGAGTATCAGAGCACAACTTGATCCCCTCCTACAAGCCTCACCGTTCCCATGGGGATCTCGAAAACTACCGATGTGTCCTCAGCCTAGCTCATCAGTCAGTGACGAACGAGGAGGAGGAGGAGGAGGAGGAGGAGGAGGAGGAGGAGGAGGAGGAGGAGGAGGAGGAGGAGGAGGAGGAGGAGGAGGAGGAGGAGGAGGAGGAGGAGGAGGAGGAGGAGGAGGAGGAGGAGGAGGAGGAGGAGGAGGAGGAGGAGGAGGAGGAGGAGGAGGAGGAGGAGGAGGAGGAGGAGGAGGAGGAGGAGGAGGAGGAGGAGGAGGAGGAGGAGGACAATTTTTCTGAACTGAAATC